ACCTCCCCCACACCGCCGCCGCCGCCACTCACGACGCCGGCGCCCTCCACCTCGCCCACGCCGCCGCCGTCGCTCACGCCGCCGCCGCTCGCTCGCTCGCCCGCTCGCGCCTGGCTTTCTACTTCCTCGTGATCGCCCGAATCTCTCCTTCCTCGTGATCCACCCTCGCCTCACCCTCCCGCCGCCTCGCTGCTCGCTCGCCGCTTGCTCGCCCGCCCGACTTTCTACTTCCTCGTGATCCGAACCGCCACCACCCTCGCCTCGCCCTCCCGCCGCCTCGCCACTCTCGCTCGCCGTTCGCCGTTCGCTCACCCGCTCCCGACTTTCTACTTCCTCGTGATCCATCTCGCCGTTCGCTCGCTCGCTTGCGCTCGACCTCCTACTTCCTCGTGATCCACCGCCGCCACCCTCGCCCCGCCCTCCCGCCGCCTAGCCGCTCGCTCGCCGCTCGCTCGCACGTTCGCGCTCGACCTTCTACTTCCTCGTGATCCACCGCCGCCACCCTCACCCCCGCCGCCTAGCCGCTCGCTCGCCGTTCGCTCCCCCGCTCGCGCCAGACCTTCTTCCTCCTCGTGATCCACCCGCCGCCGCCCTCGCCTCGCCTTCCCGCCACCTAGCCGCTCGCTCGCTCCTATCCGTCCCACGCCTATCCGTGATCCTGCCGTTACCGCGCCGTCCTTGCTCCTCCCTGCCGTGCCGCTCCTTCCTCCGTGCCGTGCCGCCCTTGCCGTTTAGCCCGCCGCCCCCCCTGCCGTCCGTTACCGCCGTGCCGCCGTACCGCCCACGCCGCCGCCGCCCTCCACCCCCTCCACACCGCCGCCACCGCTGCTCACGCCGCCGCCGCCCTCCACCTCGCTCACGCCGCCGCCGCCCTCCACCTCGCTCACGCCGCCGCCGCCCTCCACCTCGCCCGCGCCTCCGCCGCTCCGCGGCGACATCATCCACCTCCACCCCCCACTCCCCCCCCGACCACGCCCCCCCCACCACTCTGGGTGCGGCCTCGAAGAGCGTCGACATAGTGAGCGCCGAGGTGAGCGCCTCGCCTCTCAATCCGAACGCGTCCCTCAGCCACGCCCTCAGCTCCGGGACGATCTGTGCCACGATCCGCCTTGCGTTATTTTTTCGCTGGCAGTGGCGCTCGACGCGCTCGGCACGGGCAACCTCGCCTTTTAGAAGTCTCGCAATGTCGATCGTCAAGGCCTACCTCGCGCTGTGTGTGCTCACCGCGTCGCTGGTGCAGACGCAGCGGCTGTCTCCGGCTGACCTGGCGCTGTCGAGCCGCGCGCTGCCGCCGCACTACGAGGTGTGGCGGCCGTTCACTGCGGCATGCTTTGCGGACGGCTTCACTCCCCTCTGGCTGCTGCGGCTGGTGCTCATCTCGCACTACGGCTCGCGGCTCGAGGCGGCCGCCGCCGGCACCAAGGGTGCGCCGTGGCCCGTCCTCGACGCCCTCCACCTCCCCGGCTGGCTGCTCTGCGGGCTGGCGGCGATGGTCGGCGCGGCGGTCGCGCGGCCTGCCGAGCTGCTGCAGCCGTTCCTGCTCACCGCGGTGGCCTTCTTCTTCGGCACGCTGTGCTCGTACCTGCCGCGGCCGCACTCGGACCGCTTGCCCCTCGACCTCTCGCCCTGGCTCGCCGTCGGCGCCCTCGGTCTCGCCGCCGGCCCCGCCGCCGCCGTCCGCGCCCTCGCCGGAGTCGGCGCGGCGTTGGTGGTGCACCTCGCGGAGCTTCTCCCCGCCAAGGCGCCCGAGGGCTCGCCCCAGCACGCGACCCTCCCCCACGGTGCCTTGCGCGCCGCCGCCGCCGCCGCCCTCGCCGCCGCCGCCGCCCTCGCCGCCGCCGGCTGCGACCTCGGCGCGGCGCCGCTGCCGCACAGCCGCGCGCTCGGCGCGCAGTCGCACCTGCTCGCCCCCTCGCCTGCGGGTCGAACCGCGGCCCCCGACTTTTTTCGGCGCCCTCGGCAAACTTCGTTCCCACTGTTATCTGTGGGCGGGCCCGGCCGGCCAAATGCCGGCAGCCCCCCCGAAAACCCCTCGGTTGGC